AATTATTAAAAAGAAATTGGGAAAAAGCCTGCCTCTCTGTGATGGAGATATTTAAACAAGCCATTTTGAAAATGTTAAAAAATTAAAATTGTAGAAAGTCGAACCATAGGTGCCATGTTTTGCCTGAAGTGGCAAAAATACCATCTGCCTCAGTCTTTTAGCAGCATGCTTATTTCAAGTAGCAGTAGGCTAAACTACAGGCATACGCTCGCTCCAGCTGGGAAAAATACACAGACGTTTGTAGATGTTTTTCTAAGCAAGAATAGTCAACATATTCGTTTTCTTTTAGACATATATATTAGTTACCATGGCAAACCAAGTGTGAATATGGTCCGAGTGGCTTCTCCACCAGTTCCAACACATACCCAAGAATTCCTACAATTCAATAGGATGTTTTTCTAAGCAAGAATAGTCAACATATTCGTTTTCTTTTAGACATATATATTAGTTACCATGGCAAACCAAGTGTGAATGTGGTCCGAGTGGCTTCTCCACCAGTTCCAACACATACCCAAGAATTCCTACAATTCAATAGGTGGCACCCTTCCCTCTAGCATTGAACTGAATCAGTGTGCATAACCTTGGTGCCGGAAGTCTAAGGAACATGGAATAGTCTAAGAGAAACATACTCAGGGCTGAAGACCAATCACTGTAATTAAGATCCCCACAGCACTGTGCATAAGAGCAAAACTGGTAGCGCTGGCTTGCTGGTCATAATTCACTTCTGGTAATTACATTTCATCTAATAAAACTTCTCCTACAGTTTTAACTGAGTAAGATGTTCTTTGTTTTTCCATCTTAAAAGCTATGAAGGTAGAATTGCCTTACACAGTTACACAGCTTCCATCCTTGCCCACTCCCAGGTGAGTGGGTTTCAGCAGTGGGTAGGTGACTCTAGTGCTTGTATTAACTACCTGAAGAGGTAGGGAGAGACAATGAATCAATAGTTGCCAAGTGCATTTATAGCTTAGGATGAAAAGCACTGCAGCAGTGTAAAACATTCATATCCAGGCTCTATCGCAACAGGAACTCAATTAAAAAGTAATTCAATTTCTTATCTGTGTGTTTGAGTACACACGATTGTTTTGCTGAATGTGATCACCTCTTCCATGCTCTCCTCTGCTTGCTTGCCAGCTGAGACTGACAAAATTTGAGTTATGGCATATAAAGCTATAGAGTGCCCAACCAAAATAGTTTTTTAAAGATTCTTGAAATCTTATTTTTCAGACAAAATTGGCGTTTGAGTAAAATATTCATATCTTGGAAAAAAATTTTCAGCAACAAATAAATTTTAAAACTCCTGAGCTTTTCAAATATTGTTTTACAGGTAACCCTGCCAGGGGAACCCTAAGCCACAAAGCATGATCCCTGCATTAGTTAGCATGAGCATCATGAGCACTGAGACCACACAAAACAGAGACAAACAGACCTTAGGTCATGATGTGTATTACTAAGGGCCCAAATACACTACATGAGAGAGAGTATTACAAGCTGCACCCTGCAGACATCTCCCTGTTACCTGGTAGAAAAGGATATAATCTTTCTTCCCCATGCTACTTGGGTTTAAGTCTGTGTAAGAATGACAGGTCTGGATTAATTACGTAAGTCAAGTTATGCCTTTAAATATCAGAATAACACTACATATTCAAGGGGGAATGGGTTTCTGTTTACTGGCATGAGAAAGGTTGTCACTGGGCATTCAGGAAGGCAGCCTTAGACAACATTGGGATGGACTGCATTATATAGTCAATATACTCTTAAAATGGCTAATTTGAGTCTACAATCCTCAATTCCAGAACTCTCACAGCATCCTGTACTTCTCCTAACATAACACTAGTGTGATGCTCATGCACACATATTTGTCAAGCACTCCTACATGTTAGCCTGTGCTGGGCAGGAGTGACGCCACCATGAACAAGGCCCCTGAGGCCCCTGTCTTTAGAGCTTTTACATTCTAGTGGAAAAAGAAAGGAAGAAATAAGCAATTAAATACAAACGATCATTTTAGATTATGATAAATATTAAGAAGAAAAAAAAGTATAGCAAAGTGGGAGTGGCTACTTTAGATAGGGAAGCCTGAGTCAAGAGAGCTTGTGATGGCAAGGCCCACGGCAGTCTTGCTCACAGCAGTAGTCTCAGCACTAGCACAGTGCCTTGGACATATTAAATATCAAATAAATATTGATTGGGTGGAAAAAGAAGAGAGTCTGGACTTCAGTAGCATACAGGATAAGAGTTCTCTTCACAAATTTGGAATGGGCTTAAGACAGTAGAACAGCACTATTCTAAAATGCTCATTTTATTCTGAGGAAACTGTAGCTCATTTTATACAGAGGAAGACCAAAGAGATTAAGTGACTGTTATCAGACTTCACACTGAGTTAGTGGCAGAGCCATTGCTTGGTCCAGTGGTGCTCTTATCTAGACACCATAGTTTTTTCTTTTCCATTTTCCAGTGTAAATCTCTTCCATTGTCAAGTGCTCCTGCAGTAAGAAATTCTAGAGACATTCTCTGAGTCACAAATAAGCACCAATGTTCAACAGTCACTCTTTTCCCTTACCTTTTTATTCATGTTACCTTTCTTTCACTTATAGTGAAATTCCAGCCTTGATCTTCAAACTAGTTTATTACAATCTTCCTAAGCAATCTTCTTAAACCTGTTGATTCCTACAACCTGTTTCAAAAGCTTTCCTTTCCTCTCTGCATTGAGATCAAAAGTCCTATGCCATATTTTCTCCTGCAACTTACTTCTCCTTAACTCGCTTCATGTGTCTTCTATTTTCTTTTTTTTTTTTTTTCTTTTTGTCTTTTTTCATGACCGGCAACGGATCGCAACCCTCAGTGTCGCGCCCGTACCGGACCGGGACAGGCAACGGGATCACAACCCTCGGTGTTGCGACCGCCCCTCGCTCAGCCAGTGAGTGGCCGGTCTGCATGTGGGATCCGAACCCTCGGCGGGAGCGCCGCCGCGCTTCCCAAGCAGCGCACTGTAGCAGTGCGCCACCGGGCCGGCCCTGTCTTCTATTTTCTAACTGATGGCCTCTATTCACTCACACACTTACTCAATGCTAAGTGCCAAATACCATGTTAGGCATTGGTATACAAAGACAAAAAAGTGGCTGGCCAGTTAGCTCAGTTGTTAGAGCACAGTGTTGATCACACCAACCAAGGTCGAGGGTTCAGATCCCTGTACCAGCCAGCCACTAAAAAAAACAAAGACAAAAGGCATTGTCCCTGCCCTCAAAGAGCTCAAAGTCTATGATCTGTCTCATGAACAGATCACTATAACAGAGTAAGTGCAACGACTGAGAGATCCACAGTGTATGATGGAACTAAGGAAAGCACCTAATCCAACCTGGGGAACCACAGAGAACTTCCTATAGGAGATGATCTCACATTAAGTTTTATAGAGTGAATAGAGCTAGCCAGATAAAGGGGGAAGGGCAATCTAAGCAGAGCGGACAGCACGAGTAAAGGCACAGAGAACAGAAACAGTATGTTTTATGTAATTTGGTGCTATTGGAGCACAAGGTGGGAGATAAAGCTGAAGAGTCCCTCTAGGGGATGAGATCACACAGCCCTGTTTATGCCAAACTAGTGAGTTTTGAATTTGCCTTATCGATAATACAAAGCCAATGAAGGGTTTTAAGCTGGAGAGTGAACTGTCAGATGTGTGGTTTAGATAAACGTTCTGGCTGGTGATGAATCTGTGGGGACGAAAGTAAGCAAGGGAGACCAGGCAGTAGGTTTTCAGGGGTTCAGATGAGGAGACTATGAACTTGAGCAATGGAAGAGAGATCAAGAGGAGGGGGTGCATTCCAGAAAATGTAGGATATAAAACTGGTAGGATTTGGTCATGTAACATAGGGGTGAGGGAGTAGAAGTTTCTCACATGGTAAGTTCCTCACATGGTTGACTGATGGGATGACAGTGACAACAACAGGAGAGAGAATAAGTAAAAAGGACCAGAGGGACACCACCCAGGGTGAACCTTGATAAACTATGTAAACTATGGTCTCTGGGGGATAATGACATGTCAACATAGACTCATTGACTATAATAAATGTACTGCTCTGCAGCAGGATGTTGATGGGGAGGCTGTACGTGTGTGGGGTCAGAGGTATACGGGAACTCTATACTTTTCACTTAATTTTGCTATGAACCTAAAAAAATAAAGTAATTAAACAACAACAAAAGACCAGAGATATCAGGGAAGATTCTGATTTGAAAGATGCCTTGGCCTTGTATGCATGCAGGAGACCCAGGAGGATTTGCCCACAGCCCATGTCTGGGTATAAGATGAGCTTCAAGTAGGCATCTAAGATAGAGTAACAGATATGGAACCCCTCAGCTTACAGGTGCTCCTGTGGTCTATATTATCTACTACTGCAGCAGTTTTTAACCAGGGCTGTGCGTCAGAATTATCTATGGAGACTTTCAATCCACCCCAGTTTGCCCCTGCTCTGCTGATCTTGGTGAACGAGGGTATAATGTGGCAGTACCTAAGCATGTGTTCTTTCAAAAACTCCACAGGTGATGTGAGAACTCCTACCTGTAGGAATCCAGGGCTGCCCTGTATGGTGCTTCCCGATATTATCCAGTGGTGCTAGAGGTTGTCTTCCACCCACAGGCACCTTTCTAACAATGGTTAGTGATCTTACCCTGTTTAATTTTCTTCATAGCACCTGCCACCACCTGATATTATATTATCTATTTAGTTGCTTATTTAGTTATCTATTTCCCCCACTAGATAAGGAAAGACTTCATCTCATTCACTGTTGTATTCCCAATACCTAATACAGTCTCTGGAATGAAATAGGCACTCAACAATTAATACACTTATTATTGAATGAATCTTATTCTACCTGCTAATGCCTGTTACTTAACAGAAAACAGCCCTCAGCTTTAAATGTGATTTTCTTTTGACCTTTCAAATATAAACAAAAAACAAACATCATATTGAAATGTATAAAACTGTAGTATGTATAAAATCTGCTTACCTTAGCATAGTCTAATCTTCCTTTTCCTTGAGCCTAAAATAGAAGAGAGGGGGAAAATTAACTTGTTAGTTCTTGAAAGATTATTAAGTGTGTCTGTAATTTTTGCTTTTCAATAATGGAACTCAATTCCTTCCTCTCTATTTACTACATATATATTGAACCATACATACAAGGGTGCTTCAACAAGTTCGTGGAAAGATTTGTATTATCTTTTTTTTCCCTTTACATTCTCACCTTTTCTTGAATATCTTTTAATTCTATTGTCCACGAACTTTTTACTTCAAAAAGTACTTACTTCAAAGAGAACTTCACCCTCATATACACACAGTGAACCATACATATATCCATATAAATAAATTTCAAACACATAGAAAAGTTGAAAGAACAGTACAATGAGCACACAGACACACACTGTCTAGATCTGACAGGTACAGACATCATGACTTTTCACCCGTACACGCTCAGCACACATCTTCTATGCATAGGACATCTCATACATAACCACATGACTCTTAACAAATTTCAAAAACTAACAATAATGCCGTATCATCTAAAATACAATCCGTAGTCAAATTTCCGTAATTGTCCTAACATCTTTTATAGCTTCTTTTCCCAGACCAGCTAATCAAGATTCACACAGGGCCGGCCCCATGGCGCACTCAGGAGAGTGCGGCACTGGGAGTGCAGCAGCGCTCCTGCCATGGGTTCGGATCCTATATAGGGATGGCTGGTGCACTCACTGGCTGAGCGTGGTGGAGGCGACACCAAGCCAAGGTTGCAATCCCCTTACCAGTCACAAAAAGGACAAAAAAAAAAAAAAAAAAAAAATTCACACATTGCTTCTGGTTTTCATGTCTCTTTTTAGCCTTTTAAATCTAGACCAGACCTTCCCCATTTTTCATAAATGAAAATAAAAGCCATTAACTTTTTTTCATGAAAATCACTGACTTTTTGAAGAGACCAGGTCAGCTGTCTTATGTTTCTTTTTAAATTTGTCTTATTTCGGGCCGGCCCGTGGCTCACTCGGGAGAGTGCGGTGCTGATAACACCAAGGCCCCGGGTTCGGATCCCATATAGGGATGGCCGGTTCGCTCACTGCCTGAGCGTGGTGCTGACAACACCAAGTCAAGGGTTAAGATCCCCTTACCGGTCATCTTTTAAAAAAAATAAAAAAATAAAAAATAAATAAATAAATAAATAAATTTGTCTTATTTCTTCATTGTGTCGTTTGTCTCTATTTTGCTTGTAAACTGAAAGTTGAGTATGAAGAAGCTTGCTTAGATTTAGGTTAAACATTTTTGGAAAGAATACTTTATGTGGAACATTATGTACTTCATCAATTAAGAAGGACAAAATGTCAGGCTGTCCCACACTTAGTAATGCTATAAATTTGAACACTTGTATGGTGACTATCAGATCACTCCACTCTAATGATATATTTCCTCCTGTACAATTAGTAAATAATCTTTGCGGTCAATTTTTTTTTTCACTTCCCTTGGTGTAATTTTTCATATGTTGTATTATATAACAAGACACCACCTCCACCACCAACCTTTTATAGTAGGGATGAGAATAGGGAGGAAAAGAAGAGGTGAAGGAGGAATCCTATGTGAGGTCAAATTTTATTTAAAAAATATTTTTAGTTGTTATTAAAAAATGATTTAAAATTAACACATATATTCAAATGTGTTATATATCAAACCTCAACATAATAGAGACTACTAATGTATTAATCTTTGCCGGTAGGTCAACTTGTGTTTTGCAGACTTCAGAATAAAACTTCTCCTGCCACCTCTGCACAGAACAAGAGCTCTTCAACTTACAAGTGGGTTAGGTCTTGACACCATTTTGTTCCTGAGTCCAAAGTGACATTATATAGGTAATTAACATGGGCAGATTACTTCCATGAGTGAAAAGGAAATGTTTTTATCATTGGTTCTGACTCTTCTAACTTTTTTACAATCCTTTAAAAATTTATCCAAAGATGACTGCATTTTGTTTTTCTTCCTTTTACAATAAACTTATAACAAGCCAGTGCTCAGGCATAGATGTTAGCATCATCACAAACCACTCTGAAATTGTGATTTGAACATTTTCAATGAAACAGAAGGCCTCTGCAACCAATATACTATACTATAAAAAAGAATTTAGGGTCTTCAGTCTGCTCTTAGAAATTTTTTAGGAAACCAGGATTTTCAGTGAGCTGAATTTAGTACTGAGATGTACCATACCATCACAGGTACAATCTACCATGAATATGAATCAGTTCTTGCCGAATTTTAAAACCAGGCTATTCTCTGTGCAAATATTTTATATTTATTTGTTGGTTTATGGACATCTTTTTTCCAAATAAAATAGTTTTGCCTACACTGAAAATCCCTCTCCCCGCTCAGTAACTTCTGCAGGAGTGGTTAGGGAAGCCCTGAACTCATTTGCAAAGCTCACTCATGCCCTAGCTACTCACTTGGACATTGTGCAAACATGGGCTAGCCTTGATCCTATGAATAGATACTACATGGATGGCCTGTAACCAAACTTCAGCAGCAGCACCTTCACCACATGCTTAGTCTTTAAGTTCTCAAACTCCCAGCTGAGTCCTGAATTCATTTCAGGTTAACAGACAACTGACATTGAGGCTGATCCTGTGTGACCAGTTTTCCACTTTTTCTATTGCCCATCCTTTTCCTTGTCTCTTGCTGATTACTATGGATTGCCCAGGCACAGCACTTTTCAAATGATGCACAACCTGGGAGTCCTATGGAATTGTTCCCACTGTCAAAATACTCATTTCTAAAACACATTTGCCATTTCCTCACTATCAATTTTGTTTCTCTTCTAACCAGTTCCTCTTTATTCTTGCTCTCTCAACATTCTCATCTTTCAAGGTTTAACACATAGTACATGTTAAAAGTACTAAAAGTGGCATTTGTTGAAAGTTATGATGTTGAGAAACTTTTATATCTCAAGGTTACAAGGTAAACTGTGGAGAAACTATATCATTTACAATGACTTAGGGTGGACTTTTCCTTTTGGATGTCTTGAGCCATTTCCCATTTTGTCTCATAAAATGGCAGTTTTTTCAGGTAAGAAGAGTGAATATAATGCTGTTCACAGATAGGGACATCTAGCATAGCCCTATCACAAATTTTTGTAAAACCATTTTACCCATCACATACTTTGTTTGTAGACTAATCATCTTAGAGAATTCTAGGACTTTGAAGTATCTGTGTTTAATTACAAGCTATTTTCAAACCTCAAGTGAGAGTTTTACTTTGTATTCCTAGTGTGGTTACTACCCTTTCACCCAGTAGAGATACATGGCTGGAGATGATGGCAGAGAAACACCATGTATATGATCTGTATCTGCTCACCATCAGCTCTGAAATGTTTTGAAAGCTGTGAGAGTAGAAGCCTACATTAAAATGACAGCATGATTACCACAGACATTGCAACCTGAACAGACTATTGATATGCAGCTCACCTGAATGTCCTTTTAATCTTATCACAACAAACATTCTAGTACTGTGAAACCATTTCACCCTTGATTGCTTTAGCTTATATAGAAAGCATCATTTATTTTAGAAAACAAATACGGTAAATATTTAAACTTTTATAGGTATATATTATATATACATATGTATATTTCCAGCTGATATATGGGTATAAATATCTACATATGCCACTTACCCACCTGAGAGTAGACATTCAAATATACGTTTTTTTATAAGCTTTAAAGCTTACAAAAATATAGCAAGTTAGAGACAAATGCAAATGATGATTTAGTCTCCTACATAAATAATATTTCTCATTAAACACTACCTATTCTTATTCTTTTTGTAAAATAGTTAATTTGAGAGGGGCCATAGTTTCTATTAGACCTGATGATTGCTCATTCATTCAACAAATATTCATTGAGCACCTACTATGTGTCAGGTACTGCTTAGGCACTAGAGACACACCTGTGAACGGAACAGATAAAAATCTCTGCCCTCACGGAGCTTATATTCTAGGGGGTTGCACATTATTGTTTTAGACAGGCTTCACATACAATCTGTCTCTAGAACTTAAGCTCCATAAGAACAGGCAAATTTTCTCTCTTGCTCATGTCTGTATCCCATGTGAAGATCAGTGTCTCAATGAATGAATGGATGGATGGACAAACGCTTTTTCTTTACATGTGTTGACTATGTAGTCTATTCAGGAAACTTAGGGAACAAAATTCATTTTATTCACTCATAGTTCTAGGAAAGCTGGTTGTTTCGGTTCAGAGCTAGCATGTAGCTAATGTGAAGCCATTAGCTAATGCCTTACAAATAATTTTTACTCATATTGAACAATACCATATTTTCATTTTCTCATCCATCTCCTATTTATAAATAGACTAAGGAAAGGAATCTAAGCTTCCATTTATAAAAATAAATTCAAAGGTTTCATGGAAATTGGACAAAAGGAAAGAACAGAGAATAATCACCTAGTAACCTTAGTGTCATTAAGTGCTTCAACCTTGAAAGCAGTGTGTTGAAGTGAAAAGAGCCTAGAATGGAAGTTAGGAGACCTACAGAGAGATTTCAAGAGGCACACTCCAAAGCCTCAGTTGTTGAGGCCTTGTCTGCTGGGGAAAGCAAGTAGCCTAAGATCTTAACTGTGACCACTACAGGAGGACTGTGACCACCTGGGAAGATTGATATGTTGGCAACCAGAAAAAATGGTTTCTAGTCCTTCATTGGTTAATTCCTTGTTTAATTGTTAATTTAATTTTAATTGTTAATACCTTGAATAATTGTTAATTTTTCATATGGCCTTTCCTTATATGCAAATTTAGAGTCTTGGACCAGGCCAGAAGTTCCCAAATGCTGGGCTCTCACAAATTCTGGGCTGGCTGTACTGGAATCATCTGGGTAGCTTGTGAAAATGCAGATTCCCAATACCCTACCCCTGAGATTGTCATTCATTTGAGGATCACTGGCCTGGTCTACATGGAATGTCCTTTTCAATTTATGCTTCTATGTGCATTGATGTTTACTTCAAAGGTG